CCGAAAGAAAACGATCTTTGGTCAAAACAGCCCAGACTTTGTCACCAACAGAAAATTGTAACTCCCGGCGGTGCACATCAACATCAGCTTTGTACTTGGTAGCTGCAGCCTCCAAATTCATTTGAACTTGACAATGCAAATCCACGAATTCCTCTACCAAATCAGAAGCTCGCCCACGAAGCCTTGTACGATCCAGAGCAACACTCAAGTCAAGAGGACCGCGGGGAACAATGCCATAAACAATACGAAAAGGACAAAATCCAGTGCTACGGTTCACGGCATGATTGTGCGCAAATTCTGCCTGGCACAAAACAGTATCCCATGATTTGATATTGTCACCAAGCAGACTCCGTAAGAAATCACCGAGAGCTCGATTAGTCACCTCTGTTTGCCCATCCGTCTGAGGGTGATAAGCAGAACTCATGTCAAGACTAGTACGAAGAAGACGCCACAAGGAACGCCAAAAGTGCCCAAGAAATCGAGTATCACGGTCGGAAACAATGGACAAAGGCAACCCATGAAGCTTATAAACCTCACGGAAGAACAGGGTAGCCACTTGAGAAGCATCAGTTGTCTTCTTGCAGGCAATAAAATGAACCATCTTCGAAAAACGGTCAACAACCACCAAAATAGAGTCATGTCCACGTTGAGTACGCGGAAGACCGAGAACAAAATCCATGCTGATGTCCGTCCAAGGTTGTGTGGGAATGGGAAGTGGCAAGTAAAGACCTGCGTTCGAAGCATGTCCTTTGGCCGCTTGACAAATACCACAACGTAAAACAAATCTTTCAACATCACGGCGAAGTGTAGGCCAAAAGTACGAAGATGTAACCAACTGCAGCGTACGATCGCCCAACATGACCTTCTCCATGCAGTTCTTTAATCACCTGAAGGCGCAAACTGCATTCTAGGATACACAATTTGCTTCCATGAAATAAAAAACCATCAAGAACAAAATACTCTGAACTTCGGCCAGCTTCAGCGTCCAACCAAACTTTACTGAAAAAGGAATCAGAAGGATAAAGCTCCGGAAGGATGGAGAAACCTGGAACCGACACATGAAGAGTACTTAGAAGCTGTTGACGTTGACTTAGAGCATCCACCACCTTATTCAAATCACCAGCTTTGTGCTTAATGACAAATGTAAACTGTTGCAAATAAGCAAACCACGAAGCATGACGAGCTGAGACTTTCTCCTGCGAACTCATATGTTTCAACGCATCATGATCGGTGAAAAGAACAAACTCCTTGTGAAACAGATAATGTCTCCAATGCTTAATAGCCTGTACGACAGCATACAGTTCGACGTCATAGGTGCTATACCTGCCACGCGAACCCGAAATTTTCTCACTAAAAAATGCAATGGGTTTACCCTGCTGGCTGAGCACCGCGCCAATCCCTGTCTTCGACGCATCAGTGTGGAGTTCAAAAGGCAACGCAAAATTCGGTAAGGCCAGAACTGGAGCAGTAGTAAGTTTCGTCTTGATTAATCGAAAAGCTCGTTCAACATCCTCCGTCCAAACAAATTGTGCTTGCTTAAGGCAGTCTGTAATGGGTGCCATGATGCTGCTAAAATGGGCCACAAACCGTCTGTAAAAAGATGCTAAACCATGAAAACTCCTTACATCCGTAATAGACTTTGGTGTAGGCCACAAACTGATGGCAGATACCTTCGCTGGATCCACAGCTAGCCCATGTTGCGACACTATATACCCCAGAAAAAGCACCTGATTCACGCCAAAGACACACTTCTTTGTTGCCGTAAAAAGCTTCTCACGGCGCAGGACCAACAAAACGTCACGCAGATGAGTAAGATGAGCCGAGAGAGAGGGGCTAAAGATCAATATGTCGTCAAAATACACCACCACACACTTGCCAATGAAAGGACGAAGAGCCTGATTCATAACACGCATAAACGTGCAAGGAGCATTAGATAACCCAAAAGGCATTACCAACCATTCAAAGAGTCCTTCACGAGTTTTAAACGCCGTTTTCCACTCGTCACCAGGGCGAATACGGATCTGGTGATAACCGCTTTTCAGATCGAGTTTGGTGAAGACAACAGCATTTCCGATCTGGTCTAAAAGATCATCAAGTCGTGGAATGGGGAAGCAGTAACGCACAGTGATCTTGTTAATTGCGCGACTGTCAACGCACATTCTTCAAGACCCATCCTTCTTTGGAATAAGAAGAGCTGGCATAGCACAGGGACTAAGGATTTCCCGAATATATCCCTTGTGCAGCAATTCCTCCACTTGTTTTCGAAGTTCGTCGTGTTCAAGTGGGCTCATGCGATAGTGCGGCCGATTCGGTAGTGGCGAGTTAGGAGCTAGATCAATACAATGCTGAATATCCCTTAGTGGAGGTAACCCCTCAGGCAACTCAGTTGGAAACACATCAAGAAACTCAGTGAGCAAGGACTGAAATTCTGGAGGAACGACAAGATCAAGTGGTGTCGGAGGAGAGACCGTGAAAATTGCAAGTACCACCTCAGATGTCCGAAGCTCTTCCACAAATTGAGACTTCGATAACAAGAGAACAGGTCGGCTCGAAGTAGGAACAATAGGAGGAACAGGTACTTCCTCACTAGTGACAATCGGATTAGCTGATTCTTGCGTCAGAAGTAACATAAGACGTTTGTTTTCAACGTGAAAGAATACGTATTAGCAAATCCATCGTGAGAAGTACGCCTGTCATACTGCCAGGGGCGACCCAAAAGTAAGTGACAAGCGTCCATGGGGATAACGTCACAGCATATCAGGTCCTTATAGCTCGATCCCACCAAAAAAGGCACCCGACATCGCTTCGAGATACGAAGTTCTGTTTGAGTATTAAGCCATACCAACTTATACGGAGCTGGATGCGGTTCGGTGACTAACACCAATTTGGAGACGGCTTCCTCTGAGACTACATTCGTACAACTTCCGGAATCAATAATGAAACAACAGACTTTGCCACGAATTGTGCACGACGACCGAAATATGTTAGTGCGCAACCAGGACTCTGTAACGCCCTGCAGAGCCAAAAAATTCCGACGAATCACCAATGCATGCAGTGCCTGTATCACCAGTGAGATGCTCCTCAGTAAGGTCTTGATTAGTCTCAAAAGGATCTTCATCATATACCGCTTCATCATCAGCAAAGAGACCACGACGACTTTGATGAGGACACGCCGATTGACGATGTCCAGTCTCACCGCAATTGAAGCATTTGAAAGCTGGTGGTCGTGCGCAACGAGTTGCAGAAGTAGTATCGTGATGATCAGTAGATGGTGGAGGAAGTAACGGAGTAGAACTCGGTTCACTTCCTCGCGAGACACTCATCTCAACAGCTGAAGAGAGACGTTGTCTCGCAGTAGAACCCCAAGCAGAAGAAGACGTGCGAGCTTACTGTTCAATCAAAAGAGCACGTTGATGTGCCTCCGAGACCGTCGCTGGGTTGAATTGGAGGAGCACGTGCTGTATCTGCTGACGTAAGCTCCCAATAAAGCGTGAGACCAGCTGATCAGTCGATTCCTGCAGGCTGCTACGAGCAAGGAGGGAAAAAAATCTGCAGCATAATCATCAACGGAACGGTTACCCTGTCACAGATTTTGGAATCGAGTGTAAATCATCTGTGAGTAGTTATACGGTAAAAAGGATTTGCGCAACTTGCGTTTAAGCTTTTCCCACGAATCAATACGACTCTTCCCCTCACGATTCCTCTGTTCTTTCAACTGCCTCCACCAGGCTGAGGCTTGACCTCCAAAACGTGTAGCCACCAATGAAACACGCATGTTGTCAGGAACAATTTTAAAGGTTAACAACTCTTCGGTGGTGCTTATCCAGTCAAGCAGCTCCTCTGCCTTCATTGAACCATGAAAATCTGGTAATTCCAACTTTAACCCTAATTCCCAACGGCGATCATCACCTCGCTGAGCTTCCACCACGCCATGTTGCGGTGGATTTTGGTTCCTTGCGAACCGGTTGTCATCGAAGACAGCATCTCCATCCTCATCATCCTCCTCAAGATAGTGCTCTTCACGTTGCGGTAACCCTGGAGCTTGGCGTTGTGCCTGCATCATTGTACGAACTGCACCTTCCAAAGATTGTTGCAAAGTAACTCGCAAGTCTCTCTGAAAATCTGACATGATTTCCCTAAACGCATCGTTGTGCTCATCGAGTTGCTGTTGAAGATTCTTCTTAGGCGGCATGTTTTGGATCGGTTTGTCTCTGATACCAACTGTTGCAGCGGGATAAACTAGGGTTCGTCGAAGATCAATGGATTCCGAATAACACTAGTTGCTTAGAGTTCATGCTTTCTTCTTGAGAGAACAATAAACTCGAAGACTTAAATTCTGAGAAGTACTCTCTTTATTAATCAAAAACCAACGATACAAGAAGAAAGCTCCAAACCTTATATAGGAGTCTAAGAAGAGATAAACACCAAAGCCCTAACCTAATCTCTTCGATAATTAAGGAAAGTCAAATAACGAATTAAAACGAATTAAGCTAAATGGGTCTTAACCCAAGAGTAATAAAAGAAGAAGCCCATAACGTAAGTAGATGTTACATCACATTTGAATGAAATTACTACAGCCTTCTCAGATTAAATCGATCATATATATTCTACTTGATCTATTGGGTGTGTCAAATTCAAATATATTAGCCCACCTATTGAATAATATATTTCACACAATTCTTCAGATAGCTATTGTTTCTGATAGTAGAGTAGATAGAAATTACACACCTAACAAGTCTTTAAATTTACACATACTTTTGATATGAAAGATTCCAAGTTTGTGAAACGCAGTACATAAATCGATAAACACCAACATAATTTAATAGTGAAAGGAAGTAGTCACATACTGGGGAAAGAGAGAGTGAGAAAGAGAGAGTGTACCACTTTTTCACTTTGGTCACCTTCAGCCGCCAAACTTTAAGTTAGTTTTTAGCTGAATCTTCTCTCGAATTCCATTTGTAGCAACGCCATCCAGTGGATGAGGTTAGCTAGGCTTCCTCCTAAGAGAAATCTTTTGGTGTCGCATCTCCAAGAATGTCAATGGCATCTTCGGGCAACTTTGGACACCTAAAGACTTTAAGATAACTCAGTTTTGGAAGAGCCGGTGAATTCACACAGATACTCCTTAGTTCATCCATCATACTTAGTTGAAGGGATTCCAGGTTTCCCAAGGGGACAACAATATTTGGATGCACACGTGTAATCTTCATTGCTTTATTCCTATCTATTATGTTTTCTATGCTTGATGATTGATACACATCTAGAGCCCTGAGATTTTGAGCAAACAACAACCATGTCAAATCTGTTGGACCTTCCAACTTGGTTATAGAAACATGGGAGAGTTGCTTGAAGCATGGAGAACACTCCCCCCTTTCTTTGTCTTCCCAATCTATCTTTATCTCACAAATCTCAGAGGACCTAATTTCTAGGCGTTGAAGACCGCTCAGAGCTGGCGTGTATAATGTTACACGAGGTGATGATATATAGGAGAGCCTTAAAGTTTGAATGCTTTTTGCCAGTGGGGCAACACCTTGTATACTTTCCAAAATCTTGGCATCCCTTATGCATAGTGTTGAAAGCTTCAGGTGCTCCAAGAGTTGTAGCTCTTTTAGTAATGCCTCATCAACATAAACATCAGAACAATACAATTTCAATACTTGCAAATTAAGCAAACTTCCTACTATCCCATCAATACACTGAAGCTCACTATACTCCAAATTCAAGTAGATTAGTTTTCTCAACTCCTTCAAACCTACTGGTAACGATTTTATACCCGTTCCATATAAGTTGAGATATTCCAATGAACCTAAATGAGAAATATCTTCTGGCAGTTTGGAAAGACTCTCATTCTCCGAAAGATCCAAGACCACAAGTGCTGGCATACACGGAAAGAATCCACCTGAAATGTTTGCCAACCTCTTTCTCTTGAACAATAATGTTGAAAGGTTAGAAATGCAAGAAGTATTTGTAACATGATTACTCATTAAGGAAATCCTTCTCACGATTTCTCTATCGATGTCCTTTGGTGTCTCGTGTGACTGCTCCCCATTTTTCACACAAAGTGTTTTCTTATGTTTCCCAAAGTTAGAAATTATCCATAGAGCCATCTCCCGTATAACTTCATGCATTTTGACTTTAGTACCATCCTTCAACAAATGTGCACGAACTAGCGAACCAATTATATCATGGCCTTGGTTATTTACTCCATATTCATCTCTGTTTCCATCTATAAACTTTTCGCATATCCAATACTCAATCAGCTCGTCCTTTTCCATTTCACAATCTTCCGGAAACAGAGAATAATAAAGGAAGCACAACTTGACTTTTTCATCCTTCAACCAATCATAACTGAACTTCAAAATGGGAAGAATATTTTCTTCCATACCTGGAAACTCGCGGCGAGATGAGTTCAGAACTTCAATTGCATGATGCCATTCTTGTACAGTTTCTTTATATGCCATAGTTTTGCCAATGACACATAGTGCAAGTGGCAAGCCACGACACCTTCTTGCAACTTCTCTTGCAAGTCGAGGAATATCTTGATGGCTTTTCAAAGTGGTTTCTCCAACTTCTTTTTGAAACAAATCCCACGCTTCATCCCATGACAAACAATTCACTTGCATCGCTTCATCAGCTTTCATGTCTTTGCAAACTTCCTTTGAACGCGTGGTGAAAACTAATTTGGATCCATTTTCTTCGGTTAGAGGAGGAACTCCTATCCTGTTCAGATCTACCTCACTCCATAGATCATCCATCAACAACACGAATTTCCTTCTCATAAGGAGATTGTATATCAAAGAGGCTTTCTCTTTTTCTGTTTTTTGTTCCAACTCCTTGTCAAGATGTAGTCTTTGCAAAATCTGATCCTGAATGCCCTTATTTTCAAAATCTTTGGAGACCATAACCCACATCACATAATACGATCCATTGTTCTCTTCAAACAATTCGTCATTAATACGAGCTAAGAGGGTTGTTTTGCCAACTCCCCCCATACCATAAAGCCCCAAAGTTCGTCGTCCATTTTTCATGAGACAGTTCCATACCCTTTTCACCATTTCATCTAGACCAACTGTGGTTTGAATATGCATCTTCTCCACCTTAGGTACAGGAGTTTCCCTCGCCAAAACCGGAAAAACTCCTTCAGATAGAAGCTTTTCAGCTTCTTCCAACTTCTTAAATACCTTTTCACCATACTCGTAGCTTGATACACAATCCTCAGACCAGTAATTAAGCAGACACAATCTTTGAGTTTCAGTTGATCTAGCCTCAAGCAGACCGTTGACTTGGGATCCAAGACCTTCTACCCTCGAAAACCAATCCTGGACTTCATCAAGACGTTGCAAACCTCTATCTTCTTCTCTGTCAACACTTCTTAACAGATCATTTCGTCTCCCCTCAAGTGTTTTCATAGCTTTACCTAGAGCCTCGAGATTCGTCTCCATCCTATGAATGTAGTTTCCACTGCCAAAGAAGCAGCCACATGCAGCAATCAAGACTTGGTCACATGAAAACGTGATTCCCATTTCCTTCAAACTTTCAGAAAGAAACCAAGATTAGTACGAAGAAGATATGATGAAGGAAAGAAAACGAGCCAAGCTTGTGAATAGGGGGATTGAAAGAGGAATACCCACAATCATACACTTCCGGTTTGATCAGAAAACTAAAAGTCAAGACTACAAATTTCTATTAGTTTATTGAAAGTGGCAGCTTCAAATAATTATTGATTAAATGTCATTGAATGTATACATATTATATATTTCCGCCAAGTAGAGTTTCGGTTGAATTTTTTAAGGTGATCCTTCCTGTAAACAAAAAGTCGCCTCTTATTTCTTTTATCCCTACGCCGTGATACATGTTTCACTTTCATTTTCTAATTTTTTTTTATAATTTTTTTGTCCTAAACTTTTTTTCTTGGGATTAGGTTAATAACTGTTGTAGTTTTTTTTTTTGTATTGCTAATCTTTTAGTTTTATGCGTTTGTAAGATTAGATGACTATCTATTGTTTCATATACTAACATTGGTATATTTGTTAATTTTGTTGAATATTTTTTGCAAAATACTACTAAATATGATTTAGAAGGTAATTATTGTTCTCTAAAATAACCAAGCCTTTTATTTAGTTTTCAAAATTAACAGGTAAATCTAACTTGAACAAGTAAAAATGAAAAAATGTCTTCCAAATGGAGATTAAATATCCGATTAATCTTAATATGTAAATTCTTAAAGAAGTAGGGCAAGGATTAGGATTAGGTTCGGTAAAACCTTATATAAGAGAAGTAGGGTAGTCTCTTTTCTCACACACATATTCATCAACGTTCTCTGACACATATTATCTTTGCGATCTTTCTTGTTCGTCTTCGATCCATAATGGCGGCAACAAGAACATCTCTCTGATAATAAGCTTCACGGTTCTAATTGGACATTGTTGCTCGGCGAAAATCTACAAAGTCGGAGACTCCAAAGGATGGACCACGAAGGCCGACACATATTATGATTGGGCTCAGCGTAACGAATTCGACGTGGGAGATTCTCTGCTCTTCCAATACGATCGCAATGTCAACGACGTCACTCAAGTCTCTAGTGCTTTGGCGTACGATTCATGTGACTCTTCTTCTCCTAAAGCCGTTTACAACACAGGAAATGATACCGTGACTCTCAAGGAACCAGGTTATCACTACTTCATCAGCTCGAATCATGCTCAATGCGTAGCCGGACAGAAACTCGAAGTTCTTGTCGTCCGTTATGACCTGTCACGTCCGCACAAGATCTTTCCTTTTGGAAAGACATACAAAGTCGGTGACTCTAACGAATGGAGCGTTCCTAAAGAGAGTGACTTGTTTTACAAGTGGAGTGAGGAGAAACAATTTCATGTGAGAGACAATCTTCTTTTCTACTAGGACAACGAAGTCAACGACTTCTTGGAAGTAAACAGGTGATCTTGAGTTTGAATCTTGCGACCCGAGTTCTCCTGTTGCTGTGCACAATTCGGGACAAGATCTGATTAGGCTCACGAAACCAGGAATCCACTATTTCATTACCTCAAAGACTGGTCATTGTGAGGATGGGCTTAAGCTTCGAGTGGTGGTGCGACCACTACACAGAGCTGTTCGGGAAAAGAGGAAGTTGTCACCTTTGGACCGCCTCATCAAGTGGTTACAGAGCTTTAACCCCATCACTAAGCATTCGTTTTTGTTTGGTTTTCTAGATTAGTTAATTAGAGCTTTCTCTTTCTTGTTTAGGTTAATTTTTTTTTTTTGGTTTTTATTATTATTAATTTCCGTCGTTTCGGTGTTGATTTGATTTTAAGCATATTATTCAATCAAGTTTCTTGTTTTTTATTCAATCAAGTTTCATAACATAACTGAAGAACAAAACTAGAAGACATGTTTATCACAAACATGTATCTAATTTGATTTCTTTGAGACGAGCTCCTAACATTTACACGAGTTACTCACCAATCACTACAAGAAAAAAATCGTTTTCCAACGGTACATTACGACGGTAACCGTCACAAACTTACAACTGTATGACAATTTTACGTCAAACCAAAAAAACGTTGTAAAACTGTCGTACAGAAAAATCATTGTAACTTCGACGTACAATTTATGACGAATTAAGACGATTATACATCGATAACGAGAGATTTGATATTAATTGCAAAATTGTCGTAAATTAGATGTAACATTACGACGACTTGTATTCGATGTACACTTACGACGATTTTACGTCGACAAAGAAGTTAGGTGAAGAACATTTAAAACATGTTTACCTAACTAATGTCGATGAAATATTTTATCGCATAATCGACGTAAAATCGTCGTAATATTATTGTTGAATGTAAAAGCGATGTAAAAAATCGTCGTAAAAGCATCGTAAAGTCCGAAATTTTGTTATAAATAGATCTTCATTCCTTCTTTCATTCACAACACATCATCATTCAAACATAAGAGCATCAGCATCTTAGAGACCCATTGTAGGTCTCTTAAACCTTAGTATAGTGTTGTAAATCCTGATATATTGGGTTGTCTATTGCTGGAAACCCGAATTAGTAGTTATTTCTTTGAAAAAAAAGAAGTAATCTTATATATATACTAATAAAAGTTGAAGCTTTATGCTTCTAAGGGTGTCCACATAAGATTTAAAAGAGTAATTTTATTGGTACACATCAGCATTCAAAAATAAGGAAAATTTACAAATTTTTAATATTATTACTGAATAAGAAAATTAAGAAAGTTTATAAATTCTAATATTATTGCTAAATAAAAGAATTTTGACTTTTTGATTGGTCCACCTCGACATTGAAAATTAAAAAGTTTCCAAATTCTACTATTTTTTTAAAAATTATTAAAGATAAGGAAATTATACATAAATTTTTTATTAATAATAAAAACCCTAAAATAAATAATATTAAAATAAGAAACCATAAAATCTCCAAAGCTTAACCACCAAATTTGAGAAAAATGATAAATTCTAAACAATCCGAGAAACATGTCAAGTGATTGATACTTGACACTTTTGAAAAATGAAGCACTGAAAATAGAGAAAGAGATTATGTCATTAAGACGAAGGAGACTGAGGTATCCAAGGAAGATTTTTGAAATAACATGACATTTGATGGGGTTTTAACAACATAACCTTAACCACAAAGGTAACAATTAACTGACCAAACAGCATCTGAAAACATTCGGTAAGCCTCAAAACAAGGAGGAGAGACTAATATCATGATACTTTTGAAAAACAAAGCATTCAAAATAGAGAAAGAAATTCTTTAGATGGTGTCCATATAGGATTAAAAGGTAATTTTATTGGTCCACATCAATATTCAAAATCAGAAAACTTTACAAATGCTTATATTATTGCTGAATAAGGAAATTTAGAAAGTTTACAAATTCTAATTATTGCCGAATAAAAAAATTATATATAAATTTTGTATTGGTCCACCTTAACATTGAAAATTAATTTTTTTTTTCAAATTCCATTATTATTTTTCAAAATTATTAAAGATAAAGAAATTATATATAATTTTTTTGTTAATAATAAAAACCTAAAATAAATCGTATTAAAATATAAAATTTTAAATTTAAATTAGATGTATACACACATATTTAGAGACTCTTACATTAGTATCCAAATTTTTGTCACATAACTATAATAATTTTTAAGTTTTTTTTTTCTGTGTGTGCAACCATTTCAAATAAAAAATAAAAATAAAAAAAATAGAGTTAGGTTTGACAAAAAAAGGAGTCATTACAGTAAAAGAACCAACTTGGCTAAACTATAAATTTAACTATTAGCTAAATTACAAAGAATATAATGAAACGAGATATAAACAAAGTCATTACAAGCCGCTTTAATATCGAAAAAGACCCAAAAATCTCCAAAGCTTGGCCACCGAATTTGAGAAGAATGATAAATTTCAAGCAGTCCGAGAAACATGTCAAGTGATTGATACTCGACATTTTTTAAAAAAAAACACTGAAAATAGAGAAAGAGGTTTCGTCATTAAGACGAAGGAGATTGAGGTATTTGAGGAAGATTATTGAAATAACATGGCATCTGATACGGTTTTAATTATCAACCTAATATTAACCACAAAGGTAACAATTAGTGACCAAGCAACATCCAAATACATTCGGTAAGCCTCAAAACAAGGAAGTGAGACCAAAGTCATGACACTTTTGAAAAACGAAGCACTGAAATAGAGAAAGAAGTTCTGTCATTAAGCCGAAGATTGAGGTATCCGAGGAAGATTTTTGAAATAACATGGCATCTGATGGTGTTTTAACAACCTAACGTTAACCAAAAAGGTAACAATTAGCTGACCAAGCAGCATGCGAATATATTCAGTAAGGTTTAAAACAAGGAGAGACCACAATCACTTGCCTCGTATGAGATCTTCTAGCTTTGATTTCTAAATCTATTATTAAAAAAAAAAAATAAAAGCTATATGCCTCTAAAAATGTCCACATATGATATAAAAGTTCAATTTTATTGGTCCACATCAATATTTAAAACTAGAAAAATTAGAAAAATTTAAAATTATATGGTTAACAAAAAAAAATATTTATAGAAATATAAAAATTGAAGTTATATGCCTCTAAGGACATCTACATAAGATTTAAAATGTCAATTTTATTAGTGTACATCAATAACTAAAATTAAAAAAATTCTAAATTATAAAATTACATTGTTAATACAAAACAATATAGAAAAAAATTGTTAATTAAAAATATTCTATTATATGAATAACAGTTAAAGCTATATTATTTTCAAGGCATCCACATCAGCATTTAAAAGTTAAATTTTATTCGTATATATCAAAATTGTAAATTTAAAAAAATTTCCTAATTATACTAAGAAAATAAATTAAAAATAAAAAATCTCTAATAACAAAATAAAAACATGATATTAAAATTTTCATTATTACTGTTTAAATTATAACTTTAATTTATTATCTATAAAACTATATGCTACTTATACAAGTTTATGTTACTTGATTTT